AGATCTACTTTTATGAGTAGATAGCAACAAAAACTGTCTTCCCTTTCATATGCAGATAGATGAAGTGATTGTTAACAGCTTCTGTCCTTAATTTTCTTTGGAGAAGGGTAGATTAAAATTCCTGATGTTTTCAGTGTAGGGAATTACTTCATTTCCTTCCACCTAAGACAATAATGACAACAGTATTATATATAGCTTTCTATATCAGAAAGGAGGAGGAAGTTACACCTATTAGAAGTGTAATGAATAATATAATCATCCTTGGCTGTTCCTCCCTGGATATGACTTCAGGGACTGAAAACTGTAAAAATAGTTATGACTCTCCTTTGTCCATCTGAGAGATTAAAACAATATTTAGTTCTGCCCCTGTTACCATGCTTCTCACATAGAACTTCGCATTTTGCGGCAGAACTAAAGGAAACCTTTAAGATGCATACTAGTGTTTACTGTACAGCCACCAGAGCTCTGTTGTTAGAACTGAGCCACTTCATTGTGAGATTTTATTTAACTCTGGCCAAGAGTATGGCAAAGCAGATTGTGCAACATTCTGTTTTTATGATTTCTGTTTAAACATATTAAACAGATTTTTAAAAAAGAATTTCATGATACAATCATTTGTTAATAACAAACACAGAGTTATGCATCTTATCTATTGTTGCCCTTTAGAAATTCTTATTATAGGAAACTTGCAAGATTAAACCTGAGTATCTTAGTTCTAAACACTACCAGAATTAAGCTGAGTGAGACTCAGGCCATGCCAGCTCCACTGAAGGTTTTCAGAAAAGATATCTCATGTGAATACATATGTTTCTGCCCATTCATTCAAAGCCTGTTCTCCCTTCTTTTTTTGTGTTCTCTARCTTGAAGCCAGGACCATTCCTATCTCTTTCCCACCCTTGATTTCTCTTCCCAGTCTCATTTTTCTGGCACAGAAAGCTCTACTTCTTTCTGGCTTTCTTCCAATCTACATCTCTTCCTTTCAACAGTCTCCCGCTCACAGTTTTTCTCTTTTTACTCCACATCCTACCTCATCGACCCTTCTTTAACTCTTCAGATTACCTTCCTAGACCCCACACATCTTGTCTTGTCCCCACTGCTTCGAGAGTTGTCTCTCTCCTATTTCTAGGTTCTCAATCATCCCGTCTCCCTGTGCTACACTCCCCCAATTGCAGCTGTAGATCTCAACCTGTCCCAGTGCCAGACTTAGAACTGAATCATTAAAGTTGGAAAAGACCTCCCATATCAAGTCCAACCTTTGACCAAATACCACCATGCTCACCAAACCACATCAGGAAGTTCCATGACTTCTCATTTTTTGAGTACTTCCAGGGATGGTGACACCACCACTTCCCTTGGGGGCCCATTCCAATGCTTAACCACTGTTTCAATGAAAAAACTTTTCCTAATGTCCAGCCAGAACCTCCCTTGGCACAACTTGAGGCTGTTTCCCTTTRTCCTATCACTAGCTGCCTGGGAGAAGAGGCTAGCCTCCACCTTGCTACAGCTTTCTTACAGGTAGTTGTGCAACTTCCTTTTGGGCAGTTAGTGATAAGTTTTCCCTTCAGCCTTATTTTCTCCAGGCTAAATAAGTCCAGCTGTCTCAGCTGCTCCTCATAGGATTTATGTTCCAGCCCATTCACCATCTAAGATGCCCTTCTCTGGGCACAGTCAAATGCCTCAACAGTCCATAGGGCCTGCTTTCAGTTTTCCATTATTTACTCACCTGGAGGTTTGCAAAAATGTGAGTACTTGACCAAGTACTCTCCCAGTAGGCACATAACCAGCCTCACCTGCTGGTTAAACATTCCTGCATTTATAAACTGTCTGTGGTCACATTTCCCCATGTTTACTGAAGGAAGTTCCTGGGCACCAGTCCTTTAGAAGTGCCACTCTCGACATTGTTGAGTAGCTGGTCACTGTGCTTGCCTGAGGCCATGTGTCAAAGTGTCTCTCTTCCCTCCTCCCTGTACAGTCCAGTTCTTTGTTACTTCTCAGACTGTGCCTCTTGAATTTAGCTCATCAGAAAATTACACCTCCCCCATATTCTTACCTGGGGGCAGAGTAACCCAAATGATCTTCCAGGATGTAGGACACCTGGATTCGATTCCAGCCCTGGTCTTGTCTCTGTAGAGAATTCTGTAATAAGGCTCTCACACTGAGCCAGTCTGCTAACACGATTTGACTCAACACACAAACACCGTGCACAATGAACTTGAACAATGAGTTTGAACTCAAATGTGAGCTGAAGCTTGTGCTAACACACCAGCATAAAGGTACCTACTCAGTCTGTCCTRTTGCATCTGTTCCCTTTCTTAGGGAATAGCTACATTTTACAAGGACAGAGGGAAGAAAGGAAATTAGTTGAAAGAGACTGTCTTCCAAATGGAATGGCACCTTATAAAAGAGAACATAGTGCATATGCAACACAATAAAAATGACTGTGACAAGGGGAGAGTGCCCTCCTTTTAACATGCCACAGTTAAGATTTTTGTAAACAATGGCACTGCTGCAGAACACTTCTTACAGGTATCAGACAATGCTGTCTAGTATGGCTTTAAAATAAGCTTTTGTAGTTTTCTGAAGTATGATCATCTGGTTTTGTTTATATGAATGTCATAATAACAATTTCAGAGACCATGAATCTGTAGTGCTTATTGTCATCCATAAATGTGTATAAAAGTGAGAAAAACACATCACAGCCTTAAAATTTTCCACTTAGGTATTTTTGTTCAGCCCCCATTTGAAAAGAGAAAGAAAAAATCATGGCCATACTCTGTTGGTCTTCACCTGTGCCACTAAGAATTACAAGTTATCACACCTTTCACTTTTTTAGTTATAGTGGTATCCATTGGTCCAATTCTTTTGTGAACCTTTGTGAACATTTTTTGAAATGTAATGGTTCTTTACAGTTTAGGATGTTTTCATTACATTCTATAATTTTTTTTTCCTGCAGCCCCTTATCAACATTTTGCTTCTGTTCTTAGTGCCTTACCCTCCACGAACAAATCAGCAGAACTACTGTGTTCTCAAGTGAACTGCACAGATTTATAAGAGGCGAGGTTTTGTTTCTAAGCATTTAGACATGAATAACAACTTTGAATAATAATTTCTTTCCCTAACCATATATTAATAAAGAAAAATAAAACCTCTGTTAATTACTTATTTTAAGTCTTTCTCCATTAAGCATTTTAAAAATTTGTGACTCTCTGAACACTTGCCAGTTTGTCCATGTTTTTATTTTTCTGACACCCATTTTATTACACATGGAGTGTCACCATGTGTCTCCACAGTAACAGAGGATAATTCCTTGTAGTGTGATAATTCTTCTGTGTGCGAAGCTTAGATGATGCCACTATTTTTGCTGCCAAATCTCTCACATTTAATTTATCGAACATGGCATCTTTCAGTCATACAACACATCTCAACAAGTATTTTCCTCTCCAAAATTTATTGTAGTTATTTGCTTTTGGATAAGATTCTGATAGTTCTGATAAAGCCGGTACAATTGGTACTTTATTTCAGAATATTTGATAGTAATATATGATGATATTATCAGAATATCTAATGGTCTGTTTCTTGAGATATTCTGCCCACGTTTACACCCTTACTCAGGACTTTATATTGATGTATTATTTTCAATTGTGTTGGAATTTCTAAATGATTTTAACCTATGATTTTTGTAATTTATTTTATATTTAGCTGATAGTGCAGTAAATGGTACTTGAAGAAGTCTCAAAGAACTGAAAAGGATATAATACACAAAATTTAGAGAATTCAAATAAAATAATAGGGGTATTATTATATATTTTAATATATTGTCTTTATAGACRCATGGAAAAATATTATATGACTACCCTTTCACCACTTTGGAGTAATTCACTTTCTGAAAGATATCATGAGGAATCTTAAGGAAAACACTGATGGATTCTTTAACGAATATTGGAGTATTGTAATGAGTTAAATAAATAAATTTAAAATTATCCTTTTTTTTTTTTTTTTTTTTTTTTTTTTTTAAGTGGAGCTGCAGAAAATGGAAAGGCATCTGTAATTAAATGTTGCATTTCTGAAAGAGCAGAAGGTGTCTTGAGGTATGGTTGAATAACTTCCAGAATAGTAGATTAGCAGAGAAAATAAAATCTTTGATGCTGAGGAGCACCAGCTTGAATTTTATTCAATGGAGAATTTAGAATAGGCATAGAAAGGTCACAATGGTAGGAAAAAAATTATTTGTTTGTATTCAGAGTGTCTTGAGCAAAGTAGGTATCTCTGTGCATTAAAAAAATAAAAACTGTCTCCCTCTCAAATGTAATTGAAGCCACTATGCAGTCAAAGAAACAGATTTTTTAATAGGGAGAAAGTGGTTTCAGTCAGACTAATACATTTTGTTAATAATTTTAATAATACCTAAGGTGGTGTTGTGGGTTAAGATTTCTCCTTTTGTTTCCTTTCTTAGGGAATATTTCTTTCTTGTTTTGTTCCTGGGATACACTGATTGTCAGGTCATCCTTTTGATGTTTGGGCAATTGGTAAAGACAATAGGACCTACCCACCATAAGGATCTCCCTGAGCACTCTTGCTGCCTGTCAGTTTTTGTTTTTTGGGGTTTTTTCTCCCTCTCTTTGGAGAGAGGGAAGCTCTTGCTGGAGTTTTGGGGTCAGGGAGGGTATATGTGTGGGGTGGGGGGTAACTTCACTTTCTGCCCTGCTTGGCTTGGAGGAGGAAGGTCGACCTGCTAGCTGCGTGGGAGAGCTCACCTGCTCTTTTCTGCAGAGCCCATCATCTCTGCTTGTTGGTTCCTGTTTGCTGCACTGTGATCTTCTGCCCCTGTGCCTTGCCTGGGACCCCTGAGATTCCAGCTGCGATGGTTGAGCTCTGCTGCCTCCCGTCTCGCAGCTACAGGATTCTGCTCGTCTCTTTGCCATCCTGGGGTTTCTTGCTGTCCAGAGGAGCACCAAGATCGGCATTTCCGCTGTGAGTTTGCAGAGTAACTTTTCTCCATCCACCTCTGCCGCTTTGTGTCCRCCATTGGCCACGCAGGAGWTCTGARCCAGCCGGGACCCGCGCCACAGCGCCCCCTGCAGCCACCGGRGAATCATCGCACCYGCCCTGCCCGRCTGGGAGCCAACAGSGCCCCTGCCGACTGGGACCGTAACTGCACCAAAGGGGAGGATGTGTCTCTGTAAGGCTGTCACTGGGTTTGGGACTGGGCTGGTTGTTGCTATTGTTATTGTTACTTGTTTCACCTTGTTGAACATATTAGTAAAAACTGCTATTCCCTTTTACTCATATTCTTGCCTGAAAGCCCATGATTTTCAAAGCTATAATAATTCAGAGGGAAGGGGGGTCATATCCACTACTTCAAGGGGGGTGGGGGGTGTCCCTGCCTTCACTGGCAAACACCTGTCTTTCAAACCAAGACAGGTGGCAAAGGTACTATTCAAAAGATATGGAATTATAGATGCAGAAGTTCTTGTGAAATCTGAGTCACCATTTTCTCCCTTAATGATGCATGTAGGAGAGTATGCCTTTTTTTCATTTATTTCCTGCCAGCTAGAGGTAAGGACTTCTGGAATTTTGGTAAGGAAGAAAGCAATCCTTTAGTGAGGGAATGAAAAGCTAAAGTAATCTTAACATTCCTAAATTTCCTGGCATACTGTAAGAAATTTTTACTTGTATTGGAAAGGTAGAATCCTAAAATCATAGGTTTCAGTTGGAAGAGGCCTTAAAAAACATCTGTTTCCAAGTCCTTACCGTGGCCAGGGAACCTTCCACTAAACCAGATTGCTCAGGGTCCCATCCAACCTGGCCTTGAGCACTTCCAGGGATGAGGCATCCACAACTTCTCTGGGGCAACCTGTTCCAGTTACCCCACCACCCTCACAGTAAATGGTGATATATAATATCTAATCGAAATCTACCCTTTTTACCCTCTTTTAGGAGTTGAGGACAAAAATATGTTGATGAATGTGTGTGATTGGCAGTGTTGGACGTCCTGCTTGGGTGGCTGTTGCAGGGAGGCTGAAAACAAAAAGGTGTAACTGGCTGTCCTGTCATCACTGGTTTTGGTTTCTGGTGATAACTAGCAAAATGACAGGACTTGATGTAAGCAAGAAAACCCTTAATATTTAACAGATTAACAGACATATTATATTTTACAGACAGTGGAAGATAAACCATGAACAAAAAGAGAGCTTTGGGAAAGTGTAAAGAAAAATCTTCAGAGATGAAAAAATCAAAGGTTATGTTCATCATCACAACCAGTGATGACAAAGATTTTCTTATTATGAATACCTTATCCATAAAAAGATCCTGAGTGCTTCCTCCTCCTTTCTCCTTATTCACTTCAATCTGATCTTTTAACTGCTATTGGACAGTACAACCAAAGTTTTCTATCACTGAAAGCTGAGAATAGAAAGCTGTCTGGCATGCCTTCTACTCAAATCTCTCAGGAAGCAGGGGTAAAAATACCAATACAAGGTATAACAAGGACCAATTGGCTAGAAGGGGCATTGCTGAGCAACTTCAGGAGGTGAACTAACTTCTCTACAGGAACCGACTGGGCACTATTCATTATTTTCTAGTCACCATCCTTGGTGGAAAAGGCCCAAGAGGAAACAAGGATAAACTAGAGCATGAATGCCTGATTTCCTAAATTATGGTACTGGAAAAGGTTTCGGTTTCTTCAATCAAAAGTAGAATTAGAAGAAAAGGAGCAGAGGCAGAGTTAATACCATGAATAATAAGTAGAATACTGTCGGGCAAGATTAGCTAGACTTGGTAAAATGGCATTACAATTAGATTAGTGGTTTCAAATAACATCACATCATCAATATTAACAAGGCAAATTGTTAATCTGTTTGTTAAACAGAACTAAGAAGTAGGGGACATTTGGATATTTATAACATGATCACAGATGACTCCAACAGGAAAACAGTGTGATAATTTGAAATATCCTCAGTGTTTGAGTAGCACAGTCAGCAAGTGAGAAGACTTCGAGATCTTGATACATTATTTATTTTCTTTATTATTTTCATTATTTACACTTCAAAACATTTGATTTGGAAGAAGTATTTCCTGTAAAATCAGCCCAAGACAGTATTAGTATAGTCCTGAGAGCCTTCAGGGACACAGTCACCTCCTCTTTGAAATTAGCAAGGTTTTTAACGTGGTTTTAGTTCTGAGCATGGCTGCAAGTGCTCTTGGAGAGACAGCCATACAGTGACACTTCGGTTCTGAATCCTAAAACAAATTGCCACGGTGTGGGAAAACTCCCAGAGCATGGCCAGGACAACAGGCAAACATTTCTTGGTGAGGGAASTGATGAAAAGGAGGAGATCACACACTTCAGTCAACCACTTGCTTTTGTGAGAAGAGGGAGGCACAAGAACCATGCTGAGGTAGGACTGGGGCTGCAGTCAGTGGGATGTAGCATCCCTGGGTAAATAACAGCTCTGTCCAGACTGCTGGATTGGACAACACTTGGTGTGGTTACATCTAGTGCCACCAACACCATTGGATGTGGGTGGCCATTGACAAGATGAGTTGCTGACAGCTGCTCAGGCACACTTTGATGGTAACCCTCGTGTGTGGACAGTGTGGCTTACAGTGATGGGATGTGGAATGATTTGCTATCAGGAGGAAGGGCCAGGCCAGGAAGGTCCCTGTGCCCCAGGCTGTCTCAAGTCAGGCCTGGATTTCCCCTTTGAAGCCAACAGAGAGAAGGGTATGGTGGGGAGAGGCAGAGGAGAGGAAACTGAAGATTTCTCCCTCTGCCAGGATATTACTGCTTTGCATGTACTGGCTGACAGACTTGTTCAATGGCTCATTTAGGGAGTGTCCCTGAAGAAAAGCTTGCATGCCATCAACTTTTTCAGCTTCCAATACCTTTTTGCCCCATGATAGGTGATTTACTTCTATGTGATCACTGCAATTTATTTTTCAGGAGTCCCAGAGATATGCACTACTTATCTGGAACCTATTCAGTGGAGAAGGTGGGAAGGGAAGGGAAGGGCCCCATGCTGGGCTTCTAATCATTTCAATCTGCAGGTGATGAGGCACATCCCTGGTGTTCTGAGTTTATCTCATGTCGTGTCCACTGGTCTGACTGTGAAGTGGATGGTTAGGGATAGGACAAATTAGGGTTCTAAAACAGTTGTCAGTATAATGGGCAAGCATGTTGTTGTGGGCTGCCCCAGCCCAAGTGGAAGCATACAATAAGTTAGGGGCTTATGCCTTTGGTTTTCCAGAAAAAAATAATATTCCTTATTTCATCTGCACTTCCACTGCAAACAGATCAACCTTTACTCAACCCAGAGACCAGTGCACAAGATTTAAAGAGCAGAAAGTCAGGGAAGAKATTATTAATTTTTATAAATACGTAGACAATGGTAATGCTTGTTAGCAAATGGAAAATTGATGTCACTGAAAATTCCCCAAATGAGATTATAAGAACATACATCAAGAATGTTTTTCAGGATGGCTAGTTTGGCCTTGGGACTGAATTACAAGATGCTTTGGGTTTCATTGCCCTTTTTTCTTTGATATCTGTTGTCCTATTCTAAATAAAATGCCAAGAAAAAAGTAGTTTTAGTCCTTATTTTGGCATTGTTTAATTTGCACAGTGCAAAAATATAATTCCAGAGAGCAGCTGAGCGCACCAACTCCTTCCAGAAAGACAAAATCCTTTTGTTGCAGGAACATAAAAAGAGGCAAAAAGGTAACAGTATAATTTAGTATTGAAACATGCAGCAAACTAAAGGGTGGAGAAATTATTTGAGAAGCAGTTATTATTTGCTATAAAAATATTCAGAAGAAAACATTATGTAGCAAACCTCTGAGTTTTGTTTGCATAACCAAAGCTGCCTGTCATGTTCAGGATTATTAAATGAGAAAAGCTTTTAAGTATATAATATCAACACCCTTTTTAAACAAGTTCTTGCAGAACCTTTGATAAAGAAAGAAGTCAGTAAGCCTGTATAAGCCTCTGAACATCTACAATTAGCTAAACCAAAGAAGATGAAATACCAAAAGAGGGACAAAACACTGAAAGCATTTTTATGTGTTTGAAAATCAAACCTGAGTTTGTTTAATRTATACTTTTGATGTCAGACTATTACTGTTATCATATATCTAACACTTACCCAAGAAGAAAATATTTAAACAGAACAGCATTTATTAGCCTCTGTAAATACAATCTGGAGTAAGGAGTACATAAACTAAAAGGCATTTTTATTTGAAAAAAAAAAAATCAACTTCTTTGGCTTTAATAACTGAGGAAGAAGAAGACTTGTAACTTAAGCTTCATGGAAGCATGATATGAATAGGTACAGGTAAAGCTTTATCTCCCTTGTTTAGTACAGTCTCTATCCTGACCTGAAGAAGTCCCACCTTAGTTTTTAACTAATTCTTTGTTTACTTGATTAATTCGATTATTTTATGAGAACAAGCCCATCATTAATGTTGGAAATACAGTTGTGTGAATTGGATGAAGATGATGCAAAGAAAGATCAGGACCTCATTTGTCTTAATAAACAAAGACAGGTCTAGTTTTCAGCTGGAAAGTTCTGTCATGAATGCTGTGAATCTCCATTCTAAACCTACAAGGTTTTCCATTTCATTTTGTAATATATCTCTATGGGACAGGAAGGCATTTCTCAGCCTACAGCTAGCAGCTAGCATATGGTAAGCCATATTTCATTTTCTTCATAATGATGTAAAATATGTTAAAACAAGAAATATCAGAGGTGAAAAAGGCCTTTTATTTATGCAGTTCACATACATTGTAGAAAGGAGAGTGTTTATATTCTAAGAAAGAACTGGATTTAAATTAAAAATATTTTCTGGATACAAGTCTGAGCACCATTCACAAAGATCTACTTTAAATAAGACCCTCAAACAGAAATATTAATGCACTAAAATAATCATAATAGTGTTATCTACTGCTCTGCCAAGGCATACTACTAGATAGTTCTCCTTCTGCTAGGAAGAAACTAAATCAGAACACTCCAAATAT